TAGAATTCGTCCAATGTTTTTTTTAATAGCTTTACCCAAGGGTGCAAACTTCACTCTTTATAATGAAAAATTAAGTATTTCCCATATCAAACTCACCTGAGCTGGTAGTTCTTCAAGGGAAAGGGAGCAGAGGACTGCTCCCTGTCACTGCAAGTGACTTGTATGTACAGGTCACTTGCCTGGAAGAAAAGCTTTTTTTTTTTTTATGCATGGGCTTTTGTTTTCTGGCTTCTTTTTTCACCTCTGTGGCATGACAGTGGGAGGGTAGTTGTGGCCTTTGATTTCTTCTTACAATCTAGAAACTAAAAAGGTGCAGTTGGTAGCTTGTTACACATATGTGACTTTTGGCTTCATACTATGCGATTGTGCAACCCTACCATTGTTGTCCTTCCTGTGATGATTTGACTGCTGAAGGCAGTATCACTAATTACTTCCTCTCCTGATGAGTTTTCTCTTCAGAAACTGAAGATACAAGTTCTGTGCTTTGTCTTGATTCTTGTCTTGGCTTTGATCCTGCTGGAGGGGTGGGTGCAATCACCCACCACTGTCGTTGTTTCTCTGCCAGCTGCGTCCTGCATATCCTGAGCTAGCAGTGAATAGGCCTTGAATATTTAGTATGTGAAGTTTGGTGCTGCCCCTGCTGAGACTCACAAGTTGCATGAGGAGAGTTTAGACTCGCCTCCAGGAATGTTTTGTGAAGGTCCTGTCCCGAGGCAAGAGTTGTGCCCATGTTGGCTCTCAGCCTCAGAGAAGGGACACAGGTGTAGCTCTGGCAGAAAGCATTCAAAGCTGCCTGCGGCACTGTAGCTGTCTGAGCAGCAGGACCTGGTGCTTCTCTTGGTGTTTATTGTTGTCCTGAGGTAGAAACTTGAATAAGGTCATTTATTGTTCAACCATTGCATGTCAGAGCTTAAACTGAGGAGAATGTTAAAAGGTGCATGAGCACTAGCTTTGTGGTGGCATGTCCAGTCTGGGTAAACTGTGAAAATGGTGCCGCAGAATAGAGCAGGGCAGCGGTCAAGTGAGAATGGGAATGCTGTTTATATCAGGTCAAGAAAAGAAAAAAATGGACTCCTGCACAATTTTACACAAATTCTGTAAATGTAAGAAATGGGATGTCTGGGCCTCCATGAGGGTCAAAGCATGGTAGGTATTTTAGAAAATTTTTGGAAGGAAGATGATGAGTGGGATGCTGACGTACCTGTGTGCAGCAGGTACAGAAAGGATACTGGACAAATCTATATTTAAAGCAACAATGGAAAAACCTCAGTCAAATCACATTTCTTGCTGAGTGGCTTCATTTCTTACAACAGTATTCCTATGGAGTGGATTCAGGGCTCGATTCAAGGAGTGGGAGTTACTGTCCCTGTGTTACTACTTACCAACAGTGCTGGTGACAAGCACTGCCCTGCACAGCGTGTTTGGTGTACCTGTGAGGGTGTGAAACATGACAGTAGTAGGAAACTTGACTAAACTATATAGCAGTACAACTAGATACAGTACATACCATCTTTCAACCTTTGCGACTCACTGTGAGCTTGTCTGGAGCAGGCTTGAGACCTTTCCCAACAGCTGTAAATTGAACGCGTGTATTTTGGAGCTACAGGGTTTACTAGTGTGTAAGTAACAGTTCTGCAGACTAGTACCAGCTATGCAATATATAATACATCAAAAAGGAGATGTCTGATTATGCCCTCTCTGACTTTATGCCACCCAAGGTCTTAGTGTCATCAGCACAGGCGATCGAACTAGTTTTCAGCTTATGGGATCTGTAGTGAATCTGTACACTTCCTGAGGATGGGCAAAATAGCCAGTCATTCAGCTGCTGTGAGATTTGGGACTGATAATCTCTGTGTTGTGTGGTTCTCAAGGACAGAGGATTTATTTGCCAAATATAGTGCAGGCTGCATCTGGGTTGCATCATCGCTTGCAGCTAAATACTGCTACTGATTGAATTAATTTTAAGTGGGGAAATCAGTGGAGTACCTATTTACACACTGCCCATTTCAGTGCTGAAATGCTTGACATGTCTATTTTTCTTCTTCACAGAGTCATTTTGTTAATAGTGTTTATGTGTCTTCTTCCAGGGAAGGTCTTAATGCTGCTCAGGTGTTTTCTATGCACTTGCTGTCTTGATTCCAAATTGTTTTGACTTTGGTATCTCCCTTTTAATACTTGTGTGGCTTTCCCATTGAATCAGTATTGGCTTTTTGGACACTCCTCTTGGATGAACCAGCATCCCTGGATGAAAGGCATATATTCTAATTCAAGACAAGGCATGAACATAAAATGTCTGTTTGGCAATAAGAGGTTTTGTAACTGTTGCTGTGTGGAAAACTCAAAGTGGTGTGAAAATGATCTGTATGGCCATGGCAACTGTCAAAGGAGAAAGAAAGATTTGAGCCTTGGTGGCTCAATGACTTTACAAATCTTCCTTTTAAAAAACTGGGTCTAAACCCACGTAAATTAATCTCTAGTGTGTGCTCAGAGATCTACCTTTTAAGAGGCTGTATCATTCTCTGTGCAATGTCACACTGAGATCCAGCAGAAAAGTTGCATAGTTTCTAGTGAGAGCTTTGTTTATATCAGGTCAAGAAAAGAAAAAAATTGACCCTTGCACAATTTTACACAAATTCTGTAAATGTAAGAAATGGGATGTCTGGGCCTCCATGAGGGTTAAAGCATGGTAGGTATTTTAGAAAGTTTTTGGAAGGAAGATGGTGAGTGGGATGCTGACGTACTTGTGTGCAGCAGGTACGAAAAGGATACTGGACAACTCTATATAGCTGTTACTGCTGTTGGTTGAAAGCTTCCTGTTTGTCTTCTACAGAAGAGTCACAGCAGGTCATCCTCACCTACCGTGGTGTCCCCAGTATTACTGCTACACCACTGTTTATGCTCTAGAAGATGCCAGAGGAAGGACCTTCTTTGTTATAATGAATCATTGGCATTGTGTTCCAGAGTATTTTCTAGCTCAGGAATTTACCTAACTGAAGAGTGAAATTAATAACTTCCTTTTTTCCACTTTCTTTGATGTCACTGCAAAAGTTTTTTTGGTAGTACAGAAAGGTAGGAGAAATTGCAGTGGTGCTTTTGAGAATGCTTCCCCTAATGTAGTTCTACATTTCTATTCATAGCAGTTCAGTTTTGTCTCACAGATCTTACATAAAGTATCTTTCTCCTAGGTGTTCCCAATCTTGATATCCCAAATCCTGATTTTATCAAATATCAGCTTATCTTGGAGAAAGGGGCCTTTATAATATGGATTGTTTTGCAGAGGCCTAAAGGTAGACAAGTTGTTGTTGGGATCATCTAGCAAGTATATGGCAATGGTATGAAAAACAGAACCTGGATCCCAAGGTTTTTATTGTAGTGCTTTGGCTATAAGATCATTCTTCCCTCTTTGCAGAGAAGGTCAAGAGACAGAAAGTTTTTAGTTTCCCCATAACTCTTGCAGATGAACTTTGTTCTGCTTCAGTCAGTAGGATTTATTTCTTCACTTAATTAAGGCGCCACTGGAGACCCAGTTCCGTGTTTCACTTCACCCTTAACAGAAAGCATCTTTCTGAGTGGATCACACTCACCCTGTGCAAAGCTTGACTTGTCTCCTTCCCACATGGCAACCTGTCAAGATGGTACAGCTCTTAGGAGCTGTACAGCTCTGTATTGCACCTGGCCTAATCATTGCACAGATAAGATTGTACTGTCTAAGACCATGATGAGTTCTTTAAGGTTGCCATAAAGCATTGCTTCATCCTTGCCACGGAGACAGTGTTATTCCAGAGCACTATTAGTAGAAGAGGTGATTAGTGTGTCTTTAAGTGAATGGTACCAATGGGAATGGTATGTTAGGCAGGGCAGCTGCAAACTTGGCCTGAAACACGACTACCCTCGAAACCCTATCTCTACTCCACTGACCCGTGCAGGCTGACCTCATACTGTGTTGAGTGACCACGTGGGTTGCGTCAATGCCTGAAATGTAACTGCTTCCTGGCAGCAGGGCAGATCCTGCCTCTGTGACTGATAATGTGTTGCTTGAAGCAGGGGAGAAATTGCATTTATGCATCTTTTCTGTAGCTGACCGTGGAGGACTGAACTCGAAGGCTCCCTCTTATGCCTGTGTTCTGGGTTATCTGAGTTGAAAGTGTCTGCTTTCGTCTTTGTGCTAAATGAAGGTCTGAAGGGGGGGTTCCAAATAGCTATTAAAAAAATTAAAATGTAAGATGATGTTTCCCAAGGATGCTTCCCAACAGAGCATGTTATTTCTGGGGTGCCAGAATCCTCCCTCAACTAGGATTTCCCCACAAAACATGCTTCCAAGTGTTATACTCACAAAGCTTTTGGCAGGGTAGTCTCCTCTTAATGATAGATGAAACTGGGTGCCAGAAGCTTGTTTACTCTGCTTTTATCCCTTCCAATCACAGTTGTCTGGCTGTGCAGAGCTTTACCTCGTGCCCCTTGATCTAAAACATCCCATGGGACAGAGCTCCCTGGAGTAAGGGAAGGCTGTGTGCAGCGCCTGGAAAGCATTAACTGAGAGCCAGTCTCTCTTCTTTTGCTAAGTCCCTGCCACTGCTATGAGCCACAGTTGGGAGAAGGGGGTGACCTTTTTTCCTTTTTTGTGCCGGCTGAAAGTCATTCTCTTGCAGGAGTGCAGTGTGATGAAGAGCCCCATGTGTGGCTGGAGCTCGCCGCGATAAGCTGGTTGTTTTCCCTTCTCCTTTCCCCTCCTCACGCTGCGCTGGGCTTATCTGGATGCCTGAGTTATGTTAAGTAGCGGGTGCATGCTTGCTCTCTGTTCTCCTCTCTGCTTTTGCTCCTTGGATTTCAATTCCAAACATGGTTATCCATTTGGGGTCTCTCTCCATTCCACTGCCAAGAGATACACATTCCACACTCAACACCAGCTCCCTCTGCTGCTCTCTCACAGTCGCTATTCCATTTGCCGGAGCGCAGGCGAGACAGGCAGTGCAACGAGATCTCTGTCCTGTCTGTGAGTTTTCCAGCTAATGGCCTCTACTCTTTTCTCGACTGAACTGTTTTGGCTTCACATTTGCCAGCTTCTTTTCTCACTGTTGTGGCTAAGAAGGGGACCAGCCGACGGTTTGTGAGCCACAAAGAGGAGAAACGAGCCCTTTTGGAATTTTTTGGGTGCATAAACATTCGTCAGCACTTGAACATGTCGCTCTGAAGTGCTGCTGTGGGACCAGAGGAGGAGGAGGAACAGCTACCCAGCAGCTCTGGTTTCAGACCTCTGCAACACCCTTTGTGTATGACAATTCATTTTGAGCGCAGGACGGCTGGGGAGGGAGTGGGGAAGGATGAGCACAAGCAGCCTCTCTTGGGACCAGGCTGTCCTCCAGCCTCCGGTGTGTGATGCCTGGAAGAAGATTATGGAGGAAGCAGCCTACCAGCTGGCCAGCTGCATCGTCCTCCTGGGTTACATGGGGGGAAGTGGCATCTTTGGGTCCCTCTATATCTTTGGCCTCCTGGCCCCGGGCTACTTCTGCTATGCTCTGTGGGGCTGGCTGAGTGCTTGTGGGCTGGATATCTTCATCTGGAACATGCTGCTCGTCCTCATCTGCTTGCTTCAGCTGGCTCACCTGGCTTACCGACTCCGCAGAAACACCATCCCAGAAGAGTTTGACCTCCTCTACAAGACCATGTACCTGCCCTTGCAGGTGCCCCTGGAAGTCTACAAAGAAATCGTGAAGTGCTGTGAAGAGCATGTCCAGTCACTAGTCAGAGACCAGAATTACGCGGTAGAGGGCAAGACGCCCATTGACCGCCTCTCGTTGCTGCTGTCTGGCAGGTAAAGGCTCCCCTGTTTCTGAACAAAGTCTGACAGTAGAGCGCCTTTGGCTTATTGTTTTATTTTTACTCCTGTAGAAACTGGGGTGAGAATTGTTTTCTTCCTCTGAAAGGGATTTGAGATATGCATCAGTTTGTTGGGGAAGGGGGAAATTTGCTTTTGGGGGTTGTTTTAACTTTCTTTTATTTTTTCTAAATTAAGAGTATTTCAGAAAATGGTTTGCAGATTCAAGTTGTGTGCAATGAAGTGGCTTGATCAGCCTTACCTGTGATACTGTTGGGGAATCCTTATCTTTTTCTCCATCATTTTGAAGTGATCTTATTTCTGATGAGAACAGGCTGGCTGTGTGAAAGTGTTTCTCAAGGCAGGAGGGCAGTATGGCTGGACCTGTGGTCTCTGAGGGTACCAGACACACTTCTGTGATATAAACTGCTGTGCACTGAGTATGCTGAGTCCTCAGTTCACCTGGTCCCCCTGTCCAGCAGTGTTCAGGGAGAGGTTCCATCCCTGTTTCTAACACCCCAACCCTCAGGGCTTTGACATTTTTCACTTTGAGGGTCATTTCATCAAAAGAGAGAGTACTCTCCTGTGGTGGATCCTGCCTCTTTCTTTCCCTGTGATGTCATGCATTCATGATGTTCCTTCCTCTGGACCACCAAGGGGAACCTTGGGGACCTCTAGACAGTCAGACTGGAGATTTGATTGAGTGAACTGTGCTGATCAAGTACTGGCATTTGTTCACCTGAGATGCTGTGTCATCAGCATATTCACTTAATGATTTGCAAAATCCAGATGCATACAAATGGTAATGGTGTTGGCTTCCCAGCTGCTGTCAGGCATTTGGCATTAATGTTAAATGAGAGTGGGAAAGGAAGAAGATCTGTAAATGCGAGCAGTGCTGAACCACAGGAGGTATGTCTCACAAGGATTTTCCTCTGGGAAGACAAACCCAGCAGCACCTGAGGCTCAGGTTTTACTGCAGTGGCCCATCCTCTCTGGTGAGGGAGTGTGCAAAGAAGGGCAGACCTTGCTTTTTTTTGATGTTACTCCCTTTTCTAGAATGTGTTGAGAACATCCTGGGACTATCAGGATGCTGAATGGCAAAGCACTGGAAGGAAATTTGTGTTTCTATTAGTGTTTTTCCATCTCTGCTGAGCAGCTTGCTCTGAAGTTTACTGTATCTGCAGATAATGTTACTGAGGAAGAATCTCTGCTGCCTTGACATACACTGGATAATCCAGTGCTGCTCTGTGGGCACGGAAGTGCTGCAACAGACAGTATGGTCGGGTAGTTGTTCTGCTCTGTTTTGCAGTGGGAAGTATGCATCTTGGCTGATATACAATGCTCCATGGACATGGGCCTGGATTTGCATTTCCCGGTACTCACTCTATTGCCTTGTGAGGTCCTTGCTGACCCAGCAGAGCAACTGCTAGTATTATGGTGCTTCCTCTTAAACTGAACAAGTGGGGTCTTGGAAATGCAGAATATGCCTGGATCAGGAAATATGCCTTGCTGCCACAACCCTTCCAGGCAACATTCCCAGCTCTCTGAAAGCCAACAGTGAGCTGAGCCTTGTAACTCCTGAAAGCAAGAATTGACTTCTTACAGTGGGGGTGCATGATGACAGGGAGGCAAGAGGCCCCAAATCTGGTGATGCAGAACTATGAACAGAACTCCAAAGTGCCCTGCCATTGCCCTTGCCTCAGGCCTGTGTCTTTCTCTACTCCCACATCAGAGCTGAGCGCATGCTTGACCTTGGCACTAGCAAGCAATTGTAGCAAAAGTAGGGGAAAGGGATACTTAGGAGGCCGAGAGAAATTGAGAGGTAATGTGCAGCAAACTATGAGCTCACAGAGTGATCTGTCAGTAATGATGGCCAGCGCAATTTTTGGGGTTTCTGGGTGTAACAGCTTCCCAACATCGAGATAGGGAATGCCCTCATGCAACCCTGGGGGCAGGAAGAAGATGCAAATACAAAGAGCCACAAGCTGACTAAGAAGTACCTAGAAAGCAGCAGTAGTCTTGTGGGCTGAGAAGTCCTGGTTTAGGACCAAGCATTGCACCTGTGAGGGCTGTCTTTGTAGCAAGAAACAGAAAACAGATGGAGTATGGGGAAGTGGCAGCAAATAGTTTCCCCCAGAGAAAGGAGAGACAAGCCCCATGACTGGAGCACCTGCAGCTGTCCCAGGAGGTATGAGACATGCGTGAGACAAGAATTTATTTCCTCCCTAGTGGGACAGACTGTGTAAGCTGATCAGGTTTTTGTGACATCTGTTTTGTGGCCTAAGCCCATGTACCTTACCTGTCCCCTCTGCAGGATCCGAGTGTGCCAGGATGGACAATTCCTTCACTACGTCTTTCCTTACCAGTTCCTGGACTCTCCAGAATGGGAGTCACTGCGACCCTCTGAGGAAGGAACTTTCCAGGTAATCCCCTTGCATCCCCACAGCAGCCCAGCTTCGCTACTTGCTGGTTCATTGTGTGTCTGAGAAGGCGATGGAGCAGCCTCATTATGCCATTCAAAACAAACTGGGAATGCTTCCTTCCCTTTACTAGTGGTTTATCCAGCACAGAATGGTGTGATCAGCTGTGTTACATTTTTTTCTACCTTCCTCTGAAGACCTCAGTGTGTGTTCCCAGTATCAGCTGATAGCAAGGAGAGCGAAGCATGGTGCTTCTTCCAGTTTAGCAGGGAGTCGAGGTATCGGATTGCTGGCTCTCTTCCATTGTAGCATTCCCTGGTACCTGTATTGATTCATTTGCTCTGCGCACTGCTAGCGGGATGCATCGTCCTAGCATCAGCTGTGGCGATGTGCAGCAGTGATGCAAATCCATAAATATCCCGTTCCTCACAGAAGTTTCTGATGGTCATGTGTTTGGGGTGGAGAAGCAGAAAGGATGATTCACACCCGAATATGGTCCTTTCTGAGCAAAAGAATCCCTTGCTGAGAGGCCAGAGCAATTCTTACTTGCAGCAACTAAAAGGATTTTGGTCTTGCTGTCAACACCCCACAGTGTTTGTTTGGCTTTCCTTCTGGAGAATATTACTTAGGTCTACATCCCTCTGACCTTAACTCACATCCCAGGACAGCTTGATACCTGTCAGGATGTCAATCTAGTTTATGTCAATCAGTGCATATGAGGAGGGATTTTGCTAATCACTTGGGAGCATGGGACAGTCATGAGGGCCTGATGATGCTTTCTCATGAGGGCAGCCACAAGCAGACTTGGTTAAACCAGCACAGCTCTCCAAATCTGCTTTCCTAGCGTCTGAATTTGTTTCATGTGTGAAGGAGTCATAGTGATCACTCCTGAAAGCTGTGCCATCACCAGTGGATACGGTCTTGCAAGAGGAAAAGTTGCAGGAGATGGCTGACTGTGTCTGTGGCACAGGGCTACAGTTTGTGAGCAGAAATAGGGATGTCATGCCAAGGCAGTGAGGTAGAGAAAACAACAGCATAGTGGTGCTATGGATGATGGTATCTCATGTTTTGCACAGGTCTTCAGTCTGGCAGCAGACTGCTGCTAGCTGCTGGGCTGTATTTGCCTAAGAGTCCAGCAGAGAGAATGATGGCTGCCCGGTGCTCCAGGCAGGGAAATGGCTGTCTGGATGGCATGCAACTGGCAAAGACATCTGCAGCATTTTCTGAGCTAACTTCTGTGGAACTGAATGTTCCCAGACCTCCTGAGGGTCTTTATCTGTGTGTGTGAGACAGCTTTGGAGCAAGCTGGTGCCTGGCTGCACCAGCCCTGCCAGCACCACGCCCTTGGCACTTCTTGCCAAGAGGCAAGACAGGGCTGGTCAGGGAGGTCAGCTGTGCCTGGCACCAGGATGGGGGGTAGAGTCCTAGGTGGGGAGGGGCTGCAGCCATATGCTGGAAATGCCTAAAACCTGCATCTGCTTACTGAGGAGCATGAAGAAGTAGCAGCCTGTGTGAGGTCAGCATTCAGCAGGTGAGACTTGACTAGTCCATGTACCTGGCAGGACCTTACTCTTGATGGCCATGCTTAGCCATGGTGGTGTGCTACTTTCGGCAACTGTTAAACCCACTAGTTCCTCTTACCTGAGTAGTTACTCTGTGGCTTATCTCAACCTTATTCCTAGCATCACAATATTTCTGTTAAAAAGTGCATGTTTGGCTCTGGGACTTTGCTGGAGGAAGGCATGGAAGGTTTTTCTTGCCCACGTTTTTCCCATTGCTCTCTGGAGTTTCAATCCTGAGCCCACTAAAAACTGGCAGAAGCATGACTTGGTCTACAAGGGGAGCTGGTTTTCTTAAGCTTTCTGCTTTGGCTGTGTCTTCTTCCTGCAGGGGTGCTGAGTCCCAGTACCTGAAGGAGTTGGGTTTCAGGGCTGGCACTTTCCCCCAGAAGGCTAAATTACAGGCTCTGCTGATGCTGGAGCACTTGTGTCGGGAGGGATTCATAAGTGAAATCTGTCTTACTGTCCTGGGTAGGTGGCAGGTTTGCTTATTATATCTCACTTAATCCCTCACAAGAAGCAGAGGCTTTCGACTGCTGTGCCAGAAGTTGGTTAGGAAAATGAGATTCTGGTCATTTCAATTTCCATATGACCCTTCCTCTTGCTTGCCTGGCTTGGGAAAGTTCTCAGGTTTTATCTCCTATATTTCTTTCATAAGGCAGCTGTTTGCATGGCAATGGCATTAAATATCAAACCCAAGGACACACACATGCAGCCAAGCCGTGTTCAGCTTCCCAGTGGCCCTCTGCCATGGCGGCTGACCAAGGAGACCCCTGGATACAGAGTGAAAGGGAGCCCCCAGGATATTTTGGCTCTGGCTTGTTCACATGCCAGTGTCTCCATTACACTCGGATGTTCTTCTTTCACCCGAGGCAGTTTGACCCTTCCTGCATTTCTTGTCTTTATTATTATTATTTATTGTAATATACACTCACATATTATATAATGTTTTTTATTGGAATTAGTCTGGGCCTACCACTAGAGGGGAAAAGCTCTCTGTTTACATTGGCAAAACCCAAAGCAAAATGAAATGTTCTCTAAAATCAACCCAGTAAAAGCTCTTGAGTTCTCTACATAGACACAAACACAATAAAACCTTTTTACTTTCTCTCTCACTGAGTAGTGCTGCAATGTCTTTCAAGGCCATTCAGCCCTACAGAGTCCAGCAGAGCTGGTGAGACAGGATGTCCTTCTGACAGAGGGTGACCAGGCAAGCCTTCCAGGTGGCCCTTCCAGCACCCAGGGCCTTCTTGGAGCAGGGGCTGTGCAACCCAGCAGCAGGATGTGTCAGCAGCCTGCCACAGGGCTACTCGCTGGCAACTTGAACTGTCTGGGCATGCAAAAACATCCCCTCTGTAGCGCGTCTGTAAAGGTATAAAGATGTCTGTGCTACCCTGTTCATTTCAGCTACATCGCTCAGATGTCAAACGGGGGGCATCATCAGAAGGCAAAAGGGTGAAACATAGCCAGCCACATGACTAGGTTAAACAAGGACATGGTACTAATTGCATTGGAAAATGGGTTCTTTGGCTCCCTGGGGAGAGGAAACATCAGCAGGTAAGGATTTATCTAATTGTTCAGCTTGGATGATCTGGCTCTCCAGCCCTGCCATCAACAGGGAGAACAGGCATCAAAAGGGCAGAGAGCCTTTCCTGGAGTGAGGCACATGGCCCCAAGGTTTGTGACCGCTTCCGAGGTCTGGGACTTACTCCACTCTCTCCCTGCCCCACAGGTCACGCTAACAGCTGAGACCGATTGCAGCTTCATCACCTGGCCGAGGCAGAAGCTGTATCTCCTGCTGAGGAAGGACCGCTACATTGCCCGGCTCTTCTCCTCCCACCTGGGCTATGACATCTCAGAGAAGCTCTACTCCCTCAACGAGAAGCTCTTCTCCAAGTTTGGCCTGCGCTTTGACATCCGCTTGCCCAGCCTCTACCACGTCCTTGGGCCAGCTTCCTCTGAGGGGGAGTCGGAGGACTGCGAGGAGCTGCTGCCTGCCTCTGGCCAGGCCAGTGTCTCTGAGCCCCCTCCGCAGCCGCCACCACCGCCACCACCGGCCCCGCGCCCCCGGGCATCCCGGCCTGACAGTGAGCTGCTGGGTGAGGACTCCACCAGTCTTGTCTTGGAAGATTTTGCTGAGTTGCCAGGGTCTTTTATGGACTATGTGAGCGAAGGGGAGTATATGAAGTGAGGGCACTCCTGGTACGGGCACACCTCACCCTGTGTGGGACCCTCGCGTAAGTACCCACTTGCGGAAGCAAGTCTTTCCCGTGATGCAACTGCCTGGGCAGAGCAGTGGCCCCCAGCCTCTCGCCCTCATTTGCCATGGGTTTGCTCCTCCGCAGTGTTTTTTTGCCTGCTGCCACAAGGAATCCCAGAAGGTGGGCTCCAGCTGTGTGATTTTCTTAAGGAAAAGCAGCAGGGTAAAGTCTTGACACCAGGCACCAGCTGTACTCTGGGGAGAGGGGTCAGTAACCTGGCTGTAGGAAGGTCTTGCCTGGCCAGTTCTCTCCCCATCCCTCAGGAGAGGCAGAGAAACTGAAATGTGTCCAGGTTGGCAGGTGGTACATGAGTGTTCGCAGAGAACCCAGAGGGCTCAGCCTACTCACTATGAGGTAGAGCTGTGCCAGGAGATACTCCAGTATTGATCTAAGAAACAACCTCTGCAGGTGAGAGAACAGACATCCCAGGAGATGCTAATGGGGATAGAAACAGCTTTAGGGTTTACGGCAGATTGATATTGAGAAGTTGCTGTACACCCTGCAAGTGCTCAATCTGGGCAGATGGAGAAAGCTCAGAGTCCTTCTTCTCCCTGCCCACCACTCTCATCCTAGCATTTGCTCCATCCTCCTTGTTTTGATTGAACTTCATCTCTGCCAGATCAGTAAGGAATTGAAAAGTCTGCCCTGTGTGGTGTAAGTCTTGCCTCCAGTCACCCTGGGTGGACTGACAGGCTAAACATTGTTTGAACATGCCTCAAAGTCTGCTTTCTGGTGAGTGGGAATGAGATGCTCTTTTCCAACATGCCAGCTCCTTACTCCACAAGGGAAAAAAACTTCCTATGCCTGGTGGATGTTGGGGGAGAGGAGCAGTACAGGCAAACAAAAATAGACAGGAGAGTGGCTCATGTTTGAAATTCAGATCCAAGTGGCCAAGAGAGAAATTCCACACTGAGCTACTTATAGCGAGCCACTGCATGCCAGCTGCTACACACCAGCTGCAGACCCCAAAACGTGCATTCCTGCTGCTGCCCCATAATAATCCAGCTGACAGACACCAAGCTTGGGACTGGGATTTTTGTCCTAGAAGGGAGCACTCCACAGGTCCCAGTTGGGTCTGCATGGCAAGACTGGGCTGCAGCTGGGGAGACTGTCTTCCACCAGGCAGCCTTGAACACAGTGCACCCTTGCACCCTGGTCTTCTCTGCACCCGTTTGGGTCTACTTCTGTCTGGGCTGTGGACTCAGTGTCAGGGAGCACAAAGCAGGGCACACTGACCCCTGGCACGAGCCCTGACAAGTCTGCAGAATTCTTGGTGTTCTGCATGGAGTGTCTGTCCAGATCAGACAGCACTTGCTATTTGCAGTAGGCTTCTGGTGGAAGAGGCCTTATTTTGCTGTTCCATCCAGTAGCTCTTCTTAGTTTTGAAAACAGTGGAACTGTAGGATTTCTCTGTTTTGTACAGTTCTGCTTTGAGTTCAGTCACATGCCAGTTCCTGTACTGCTTCCATGATTCCAAACTTAAAATCTGGTATATAAAGAAAGTGGCCAGGGAAAGAACAAGTATATTTCATTTTGCCTCAATCAGGTAAAGAGTCAGCAAGACTTTTGTTTAAGGTTTTGTTGTTGGGATTGTTTGTTTATTTGTTTTGTGCAGTTGATTGTTTTTTAAGGAGGCACAGAGAGAAAAATTTTAAAAATCCACATTTTTCCTAGGAATGTGAAATCTCTGATTTTGCTGGTAGGCTGCTGGAGATATGAATTTGCAGCTTTTTCAGTCCTTCCATGGAGAGGCAGGAACACTGAATCTCTTATGAGACAGCCATCCTCCTAGCTGTCAGGAATGTCTGTTGAATACATGCAATCACAAATGAATGCAGATAGTGTTATAAATGTGGTGAAGTCATTTTGCCTGTGCTTTGCTTGTATTTTGCCTTCTCAGAAGAGGGATATCCTTTCACAGGTAATTGGTAGAATTCTCCTAGTTGATCAAACTCAATAAAACTAGAATTTCAAATGCAATTAAAAAAGGAAAGAGGCAAGGAACACCATAGCTTTTCATTAAAAAAAAAGTCAATTCTATGAACTCAAAAAATGAGTCAATACTATGAACATGCACACGAGAGGTGTGTGTGTTGGGGAAAGCTTGTGCAACACAGCATGAAGCTATTTTTCCTTCACACAGTCCTTTTAAAACATGCTGTAAGCTGGAAGCTTTTGTCTTTCTAGATCTTGTGACTAAGACAGTATCAAGGAGTGCTGATATTTGCAGTAGAGACCTGCAATAAAAGTGCAGATGTTTAGAGGGTGGTATTTGGTGTGGGAGGGGAGGATGATCTTCCTTGTCTGTCAGTCTGGAGACAATAGCCAGTGTGGTATTTTAATTTTTAAGGTAATTAGACAAGGAAAGAGAAATGCCATTTAGTGTGTTCATAATGGTGGAATGAGCACTTTCCTGTTACCCTGCTCACCAGTGGTGTATCCTACTCGCATCACATCGTAGCACAACAGCTATTGTCACATCTGGACAGTATTCCACAGTGACTCGAGCACCTCACCACAAAAACTAGTGATACAGTGGGGCTGCAGTTTTTCCTTCTGGCCAGACACTTGTCATAGCTCAGCAAATAATCCGAGCATGGCTCAGGGAAAGCACTTTCATAACTTTTCCCTTGGAAGTGGTAAAAACATCCATAATAAACAGGAATATTCCCTGCAGTGTCACTGTTCAAAGTAAGCAATAGCTGCAGTTCCTGATGCCAGAGCTCCCCTGGGGCTTTCTCCTGGTCTGTGCTTTCATTTCCTTCCCCAGCAACTTCCAACATGGAAATCACTTCCCAGCTCTCTAAATTCCCCATACTGAAGTGCTTCTATGGGTCATGTTCCTTTTCTGTCATTACAACAGCCACCTTGCAATACCACAGTGCAGGAGGGCAATTCTTGAATGCCCAAAGCGCTACCAAGGTCATACAGAAGAAAATATTCCTGGGAGATATATTAGCCTACTATTCTTATCATCTAGTTCCTTGAAAGAGTTTCTAGTTTGCTTAAGAGTAAGACAGACTGTAATATCCCACTGATGAACACATTCTTTCTCTGAGGAGGAAGCTTTTAGGAGCTTTAAAGGAGGCAGTTTAAAGGAGGCAGTTTCCAAGGTTCTATTCAAAACTTGCTTTAACAGTGTACTGGTGTATAGCTCAGTGCTACAGAGCAAACAAAGCTTTATTTCTTGCATGGAAATTCAAACAACCAAAACGCTCTTGATTTTTCTCCTCTTCATATTGCATTTGTTCGAGTTTGCTGCTTGCAAGATATGTAGCTGTTGCTACCTGGTTTTATACAATTACATCCTGGGGCTTCCTTTCTATTTGGTGGATAAGGTGGGTGGATGGATGCTTGATGGCCTGTAGCTTGGTATCTAAGTTAGTAGGAAACATTTTATACCTACTTTGAGAGCAAAATCAAAGGAGCTGCGGACTTTGTTTCACTGATATCACAAAAGGTGCTTTGGAGGGGTTTGTTTTTGCCATCTCAGAATGGGTGCATAACCCCGTTTTCTGGTTTATCACATGTTGAAGAATTACATACTTTTGCATGCTCATTCAGGAGGGGAGGGGGGAAGGACAGATAACAGTGTGTTCTGCGAGGTTTGTTTGAAAAAGTTTGAAAGTAAGATTTATTCCTGTAATAGTAATGGTGTTCTCTTTCTCTCTCTCTCCCCCACCTCTCTGTTCTCATTTTCCTTCCTCCTCCTCTGCTTTCCTTCTGCAGCCTCTGGAAACCTTCTCCGGAGTTCTCCTCACCCTCTCTGCAAAGGACGAGCCCCTCTGGCTCCCACTCAGACTCCTGAACTCTAGGGAACAACAGGCTGTTTTGATCCCGAAGCCTCTGCAAGGGCACAGATGCTCACACAGGTTTTTGGTCAGAGACACACTCTTTAGCACGCAGAGATGTCTGCCAGCAGACATTTACACTCAGGAGCACATGAAGCACATGCTTAAGACTGCAGTGTGACACTCCAGCACCTCCCACCCCATGGTTGTTCACCAGAGCTGCCTTCCCCAGTGTGCTTCCATGGTTTGTTTTTTAGCCCTCCCTCTCTGAGGTGTGTCGGCAGCTCTGCTACCAAGGTGCAGAATCTGTGTTCCCTTTGATTAATGATTCCCATTAAAGTCAGAAATGAAACTACTGGTGTTTGAAGATTTGAAGAGGGAGGTAACAGTGGGAGGGAGGATTTGAAGAGAAAGATCCCTTGAGGTGATCTCAAGGCACTGAGTGGAAAGGGCAAGGGGAAATTGGCTGCCTGGTGGCTTTGTTAGTGTGCTTGCAATGGAGAGTTTGATGATACGCATCTCACTGGGAATCCACTCTTGTAAGACCAGAAATTACTTTTCCAGGAGTTAGGATTTATCATTTATGAAAAGCACCACTTCTCAAAGAAGTTGGTGAAAAAAGGAAAGGTTGTTTGTTTGCCTTAAATCATTTGGAATAAGAAAGGGGAGGAATTGGGACTGGGAACAGGTGTAGGCAAGAAGGAGAGCAGGAACCCTTTTATTTTTTTTTGTGCTCAAAGGGGAATCACCTCCGGTTGCACACATGCCAAGTGAAGAAACGAATGAATACAAAATATCTGTGGGGAGAACAACCACTGGTAGGAAGTACAATATCTTAATGAAAATCGTGTGGAGATGGAAGGCCTCTTCCAAGTTCAGCTGCAACAGGATTTGTATGATGAGCTTCCCCAGCCATTTCCTCAGCCAGGGAATTGGAGATGGAAGTACGGGTGGAGGACCAAGGTGCAACCAAGCTGTGCAGTGAGGAGCCTCTCCAGGGCAGATATTTGGGGAAAGAGCAAGGAGCATCCACCCATACCTCCCTCAGCACAGGGCAGGGCATTCTTCAGTGCCTCTTGGCACAGACACGCAGGGACACAGCCATTCTGCCCGTGGGGCTGGCTTTGTGTTAGCCCTGGGCTGGTGGAGGCAGCCCCACCCACCTTGCCCTGCTCACACAGGGGCTGTGGCCCAGAGGCCACAGATGCGTGGGATCCATGGTGTACACAGCTCCTTGCACTGCTCGCCTTTGCTGTCACACCAGGGCAGAGGAATGGGGCTGCCCCAGGCCAGGGAATCATCCTGCTGATGGTTGTCCCCATGCTCTGTTGATACATTTGTGTTCAGCCTGACCCCACTGCCCTTCACAGCTAGGAAGTGTCTCTGGCAGATTGACATGAGAGCTGCTGGGGTCTCTTCTGCAAAGGAACTGAAATGCACAATGAAACTGGGGCCACCTGTCGTGGTGCTTTATACACTTGCCTGAAGCAGTGGACCGGAATTAGACACTGCCCTTCACAGCTGCCTGCTGAGCTTATATTCCAGTCTTCAACAAGAAGCTCCCTGGAAACTCTTCAATCATGGAACCAGCTAACATGGATCTCTATCAGGTTGGCAGAGCCCAGCTCTGTCCCTCTCCTGAGTGTGTGTTGGAGATGGTGTTTGCTAGCTGGCCTTCCAAACAGCCACATGCCAGGGCCCAAAAGCTTGGACGCGAGCTGAAAGCAGGAGCTAACCCTGCTGTGATGCTGTTTAGTGAAGCAGTAGTGACAGCTCACGACAAATGACTTGAGGCTTCTTCATGGCAGAAGTGCCTTTAGCATGACCCTCTCTCCTGATCATGGAGTTCCTGGTGCACTTTTCTATCACCCAGTGAAGCCAGTACAGGGAACCAGAGAAAATGGTTAATAGAAGGTGTGATTTGTTGGCAAAAGTGATGAAAGACTTGTCACCTCTATAATTTGCATACATATCATGGTGGTGGAAAAGGTGTGGGTGGGTGAGGGCTCTTCCTATGGTCGTGCATCTGACTGTAATCTTTCACCAGTTATTTCCAGACCTCAACTACTTTTGCAGGTCTGAAAGGCTGTGCTGAGTTCCTGGGACTAATTTGTGTTAGGTGGCCCCACAGCTACTCCATTCTCCTCTTACCTTCTATTCTGGGCAGATGGTCAAAGCAGTGCAAAATTGGATGTGAGAGCACTGTGGTGCTCCTGGTGTCTGCTTCACTTCATGTGAGCTTCAGGGAGAAGAAGCCAACCACCAAAAGAGTTGCTCCAGTCTTGTCAGGTAAGGAGATGCATTCTGATTACTTACTGAAGCACTAACATAAAATCAACACGGTCTCACTCTGAAAGGGTCTTATAGATGGGACTAGTGAGTTTCCCATTGGAGTGCTGGGTAAGAATGACTCCTTCCTGTGCCAAACTTAAACCCCACCTTTTTTCTCTTGCTGAGGAAAAATACTACCTCTCACCTTTAGTATGAAGATTTCAGGACATTTTCTTATAAAACACAAATGAATCATACCAATACTCCCACTGTACAAAGAGTATATTATCTCCTCCTTCTTTCACATAGATACAAACATTGAGATAAATGACTTGCCTGTCTCACTTTCAGAGCTGGCTACAGAACCTGGGAGATAAAAGTTCAATCCAGTCTTTTAACTGAGAGGTTTTGCTGTAACCATTTAACCTTGTACTTGCTGACATTCCACACACTTCTTTTTCTTGATATCCTGTCCCCATGCAGGGAGCAAGAAACCCATCCAGATTTATGGTGAAAGTATCACCTGTGAGCAGAGAGCAGCAATAGGTTTAGGACTCCTTTCTGGTTTTCTGTATCCCAAAGGCAGTGCTAGGCACAAGTAGTGGGTAGGTCATAGGAGATGTCTGTTTTGCTGGGGAGAGTGAGGTTCCAGGGCAGGCATGACATTGTCCGGCTGTGGGAAGAGCACAAAGAAGTCAGGCTGGGCATCAGCAGGTGGAGGTTGCTATCCTAACACAGAACCAAGCAAGGTGCTGGTGGACCTGGTTCTGCTTTGCAAGGATATAGTGAACAGGGTGCTGTGCCCTGGCTGGGATAAATTGGCTGGAAGGGTACATATGAGGTTGTGTCCTTCACCTTTCCACCGCCCCCTCCTAGCAGCACCATTGTTGCTCTGAGTGCTTCCCGTTTAGTGATGGAAGCACAGTTTAAACCTGTGCAACTCTACAGCTTTCTACCTCTGTCAAAGCCAAGTGCAGTGCTTCCATGGGTGCAGGTTAGCACATCCTTAAGGCAATATGGCTTGCTGTCTCATTCATAAATGATAAAAGCCATGTATCTGCACATCCATCCCAACTTTGGGGTGCAAAACATGCTAGTAAGGAATAGTCCTTATACTCAAGGAAGTGCCTGGTATTTACATAGGAACGCTTTTTTTCCCCTGGGCCTACTGGATGTATTTTTACTGCCGAGACCTTGAGGCTCCTTACTGCTCATCAAAACAGAATTTGCCTTCTGGTTTTCCCTGCTTTGAAGTACTCAGTAGCTTGCTTCAGCCTGGAGTCAGCATCTCAGAAGCAATGTGGACAGAGTTTAATGTGTCAGAATTGACCCAGCTATTTTGTCCTGCCTGCAAGAACTTTGGACCTGCAAAATGCCTGGCAAGAATACTATATTATGGAGAAGACCATTATCTCTCTCAGGATGAGAAGGACTTGGCTGCATTTACTCCAGAAAGGGTAACTGTAGCTGAAGGTATATACTCTACAATGTCTGGCCTAGAAGATGCCAAAACGGTTGTCTATAGCCTTAGGGCTTTTAAACCTTCCTGTATAAGAAGCAGAAATATATTACTGGTCTTCTGTTGTCTCATCCTGAAAAATGTTCACCTGTCATGTTTCAGATGGGGGCCCATTTTAGACAGGGGAAGATGGAGAGGGCAAAGAAGGACAAAAGGAATAAATTCTAGTTAGTACAAACTTTTGCCATGGTTTGTGACTTAAGTAGCTTCAAGGTGATGTGAGTTGCAGCCATTTTCCTTCCATGGCACAATGCTTTTATCCTGGGGGAAGAATTTTAGAAAACTAAAAAACTAGCTTGGTAGCTTTTCTCTTTCACAGACAGAAAATGAGTTACATAGGGACACAGAGGTGATGGGAGAAACCTCTTTACTTGTTTATCCAAAAGGGAGAAAGAATGCATTGTTTCAAACCACAGGCTGCATCCATAAGCCTTAGTGTCTCCCCGTAAGATATTCCTCTGACTCACCTACTATTGAGAGGCAGCGGCGCCACACAGAACTTGCCAACAATGGATGGCTCATCCCTTCTCCAAAACCGTTTTCTTGGGATATACTTCAGTGTCACGCTGTTTATTTGGCAGAGGGGAACTTGGTGGGCCAGCAGCCGTTTGCCCATGTCCTGGTACGTAGGTCTGCAAGGCAGGGTGAGAGATGTGAGGGAGAACGTTCAATCAACCTGCAGATGCAAGCCACGTGCAGATCCATGGAAACACTGGAGGAACCTGCAGTATTATTGTGAAGCACTCACATAATAAAATGGAGTGAGAAGACTCATCTGTCAAAACAGGGCATTGCATGAGCATTTTACTGGCTGTCTCTCCATGTTTTATCTTTGTATGTATAGAAATATTTCTACATAAATATCCTTCCTTCCATCACACAATTACAACCACTCTTCTAGCTGTTGCATGTAGATTGAAACATTGCTCAGCTTGCTAAGGTAAGTGCTACATAGATCAACATCCATGAAATTGTGAATGGCATGGATAGGGGCCAGTTGTTCACCATTTCTTCCAATACATGAACTAAGGGTCATCAAAGAAAGCCAAGAAGTGGCAGGCTCAAAAAGATTGCACACAGCAGAGTACAATTTCAGCTGTTAAAATCCCTGCTGTAGGACGTTATGAATGCTAGAAAGTTTACGTGGCTGTACAAGTCATGGGAGGGGGACTGGACAAGTTTGTGGAAGACAAAAGCTAGTAACGATAAAGATCTCACCTTTTGCTCTGAAAGTCCCTGAGATGTAGTGAGACAACAGGAAACTCTTTGGGGAAGTATTGCTACCTGCTTACACTGACATTTTTTATACTCTTCTCTAGGTATTTGCTTTTGATCATGTTGAAGGTGGGATGCTTGGTAGAGGGACCTTTGTCTGTCCCTATGCTCTTACCGAGGTAATGTGAACTGAGCAGTGACAGAGGCTTGGTGAACAGGCAATGATCAGACCCCAGTTGATCATGTGTTACAGAAGTGTGCTGCCCAGACATTTTAAGTCCCTTCTGTGGAATCCATCCAATGGCCCTTACACTTGATCTGCCTGGGACCTCTGAGAGCCTGGAGATAATTGATTTCCCTGTGCTCATGAAGAATATGTGTGTAGCTGACTTGGCACGATCCCAGAAGCACCTGGGTGGCTGCCTGATGGTAGGGAAAGGGGAGAGATGACGAAAGGGTCAGGAAGAGCCTACAATTCTGCTACCCAAAGTAGCTCCCGGGAGTGGGCTGACAGCTGCACTCACAGCATCCTCCAGCCAACCCACACCAGTGCATCCAGTCCCTCCCTTAGACTGCAGTAGTAGTTGCTGCAGGTTTTGTGTGTCTGACTGTGTCTGCCTTGAAGCTGCTTAAAATAGGAAGCATCACAAAATTATAGTTATAAAAGTGAAAAATGGATAGCAAACGGATAGCAAAAGGAGGCCATCTCTCTACTGAGTACTATCCATGGGCAGGACCCAGCCCTGCCCCAGGACAGAGGAACACAGTACAGCTAAGCAAGTTGAAGAAGTCACTCTCAGGACTGACACTTGGTCCAACCCTGCAAAACCTTTGGATGGATGTAGAAGTCTTGGCTGACTTCAGAAGTATGTTTTCTTGGATATAGGGGATAATGTCATATGACGTGTAAGAAAATAGCAAATGCAGTTGGGAAGTGTTCTGTGTTACAAGCTCCTTACTCATCAGCCCTGTGTCAGCTATTGAAGCTTGAGGACATGTCTCTTGGGGCACTTTGTGCAATGTGTGGGGTAACAGCATCCTGAGGAGTGAGATTGGAATTGATATTTGGGAGAGGAGAAGAGCAATGTGAGGAAAGTCACAACCATGTGAGTTGTTGAAGATTTGAGACTAGCTGTAAGTCCCTCTGCACTTCTAGGAAACAGCAGGATGATATACATGTCAGATTATCTGAAATAAGTCAGTGATCGATCAGTGTCTGAACTGCAGTGTGAGGATCTATGTTTAGATGCCCATTTGATACTCTGAGCTTGACTGCACTGGAAGACTGAGCTTTGCCTAGGGTGGGGAAATTTGCCCTTTGCTACTAGTGGGAATTAAAATTTTATACTCTCAAATCGGCAGGTTTATTGATGTAAGCAAATTTTTCAGTTTAGCCATGTGCTTCTTAGGAAGGCATTTAAATGAAACAGAGCTACTCTTCCCCCAGGGTTTCTCTGGATAGTTTACCCTCCTAAACTCCACTGCCTCATTAAAACCGGAGGGTACAGCAAAGCCTCGGGATTGCCTGCCTGGCTCACTTCCTCGGGCAGCCTTTCCCTCCAGCACTCCCATGCCTCCTGCTGGACACACACACCAAACCCTGTGTCTGATAACTGCAGAAGTGCTGTACGGATCCTGACCTAACCTAGGTGTTACTATTTCCTCCCTCCTGCATCTGTGGAAAAGGCAGATTTGGCTTCCAAGCAGGGAGGAGTTGAACAGACAGAGCTCCACCAGGCTGGAGTACAAACTCCATATTGCAGTGCCTGAATGGAAATCTGTGACCAAGCTCACACTGGAGAGTACCCTAGAGCGTTGCTTCTCCTTCCCCGTTTCTCATCCCTACCTCCTGGTGCTCCAGGACTGATGCTGGGGCAATTAGCTTCAGGTCACAATGTTTTGGCTTTGAAGTAGGGACTGTGTGGGAGTCAGCATTGGAACCCCTCTGATCCCAGGAGAGGTGGCTGAGGCTCTTTAAAAACAGGCTGCTCTCCTGCTTCCTGAGGCAGCCAGCAGCAAGTGTCAGCTGCATTGTGGTTCCCAGTCCACAGTAGTGGGCAGGAAGGTGTAGGAAGAAGTGAAGACGACTTCTAGGGAGTTTCTCTGTGGTGGGGAGAACCCCCTATGGTAAGAGCTGCGGAACAGGAGTCTGGTCCTTTAATTCAGATACAGTTTGGAGAAGGATGGTGCTTTCAAGAGAGATTTTTCTGCCTACGCAGGTCCCCCTGCCCCCGGACTTTTCCCTGCAACAGGAGCCTGAGAGCATCGCTTCATCACTGCAGAGGCAACAAGCTACTGAAGACATTTCTGCAGAAATGCACTTTCCTCTTTGCAACTTCTGTCCTATCAGGTGTCAAGAGAAATGTCTAAGCCACCAAGTTCATCAATCTGGACGCTCGGGTGGATGCGTCTTGCTGTAGTCCTCTCTGTCAGGCAGAATAGGGTTAATAACTATCTGACAGTGACTGGGGTTAAAATTGGCACCAGGTAAGGGTATGGTGTAGAAAAGGAACCTGCATAGCCACACAGAAGTATACAAATCTGGGGATCCCAGAGTATTCCTGCTGCTTTGTGCAGTCAGGGAAGGCGTGGACCTAGTCAAGGTTACTGAGTAATGGTAGCACGTGCCTGATTCTTGAGGGCATTTAAGGTAAATGTGTAGGGTCTCAAGAAGAAAGGTTGTGGTTCATCACTCAGGGAAATATGCTGTTATTGTGCCTTTCCTGGACCAGGATGAATATCCTTACACATGGAGCCAGGAAAAAACAGGCCAGAGAAGCATGCACTGTCACTCACATGGTGATCTTTGCTGTGTCCTTGGTACTGTTGCTGAAGAAAGTAATCTCAATGCTGGTGACTGTGCTTCTTTTCTTCTGCAAGTGGAACTCAACCAGGCTGTGATAGACTGAGCAAAAAGCAAAGTGTGTGGGAGTGAGGGCAGGTACTACCACTTGGACCTACCCATGCCAAAAGAGGGGCTCTAGCACTCATTCCCTGGCCCCACCAGCAGAAAGAAGGTTCAACAGACATAAGAAGGAATCTAGTCTCTGTGCTATGTGAGGTACAGGGGGCATGTCTGTATAGTCCAGTGTGAACAGACAGGTATTTTCAATCCCCTTTACTTTACTCCTGAAGCCATGTGGCTATGCTAGCCCAGGGCTGTGCCCACTTAATAAATCTGTTGAAAGGGCTTTATGGGGGAGATATGCAAGGTTACTGCTCTTCAGCTGTGTGTCTCAGACTCTCTGGGCCACAGCAGCTGACTGATGGAGACAGTGTGTTGTAACTACCTGGGCTCCCCAGAGGATCTGCCTTATTTGGTCAACACCCTTCTGACTAATTTTTTTCTCATTCTACTTACCGCAGAATGGGGCTGAAGGACCGGTCATTAAATAAACTGTCACTTCCTTGGGCAGCTTACTCATGTTGACACCTGCCTGCTCCAGCAGGCCTGTAGGAAGAATTAAAGCCAGTGCAGGAAAAGCCATGAATGACACAGAACAGAAATATAATCTATAAATCCACTCACCCTGCCCAACTCCCCTGTCTTGGGGAATGGATCCCTTTTTCATACCAGTGCAAATCAGAGCAAGTACAAGATTGTGGTGTCTATTTGACAGATTCCCGCAGAAAACCTATTCTGTCTACCCCTGTAATCATCACCGGAGAACCTCTTGGTGGCTTTTTTTCATTATTCTGCTAACAAACTGTGCTATCAGTTGCATCTGTGCAAAATTAGCAGGACTAAAGACTACCAAGTCAGGAAACGTAGTGCAGATGTAAATGACAGTGCAAACGCAAGGTGTGGGGAAATTTAATTTCTTGGTCAAGTGAGAAGACCACCATAACTTGAGGCCTGCACCACTGGCTAGCTGGCAATATGGCCTGGTGAGGTGGGGAAAGGTGGCTGATATGAGGGAATTCATTCCAAAAGAGGCCTCTCTTTGTGTTCCTCTAGTACCATGCTGCAAATAGCACCAGAGGACACTTTCTGCCCTCATTCCACAGTCCAGTTTCAGAAGCCTAAAAGAGGCATCTATTACCTTCTCCCAGTCCAGGGAGCTCATCTTTGGGGTAACCATGGCAGAAATTTATGAAAAGGAGGTGACTCAGCAATGAGTGATGTAGAAGAATGGGACTTCAGGCTTGAGCTAAAATTTCCAGCTGCTTCTCTAAACAAGACATTTTTTTGAGGTAATTGCCCACTTATTAGGCAGGTGATTCTGGAAACTCTTTTTTAACTCCTCTGTGGGGCCTATGAAATGTTCAAGATTTTGGTGTTCTACCTCAGGCAATACATGAGCTTTTATAATGTCTCTATTCATTTCAGAAGCCTGAAAATGAAACAGCTTCTCACTCTTTCCAAAGAGATCCAAAGCAAATCCTGCTCAGAGAAATCTGAACTGCAGACTGTGCTCTGCACTGATACCCATCAGGAATGCATTGTCATCTGCTCCAAGAAAGTCTCATGCTATTACTGTACCTATTCTGGGACAGGAGGACAGGAAGCGTTCTGCACAGTCCAGGCAATGACCATTTAAAAACTCTTGATGACTTGCACAGGGAAACCCCACGATTGGACAGGAATGTTTCAAAGCGCTGATATAGAGATGTACAGCCCGCATGTGATCACAGATCAGATAGTTATAGCCTGCAAGAAAAACTTCAATCAGAGAGAAGCAGCCACGAGCCTTTCTGATGGCTTCAGTCTTTTTGCACATTCCCAAGGAACTGAGAGACGAGGAACACTCTTACTGATTCTGTAGTGATCCCTTTCCATTAATAAAATTTTGCAGAGCATCTCTGTGACTACAAGCCAGATCCCACTGCAAGTGAAGTTATGCAGGAAGTTAGAAGTGCATCTCCCAGATTAACAGAGTCCCTCCGAAGAGGAGGACCACAGGGCTGCCATGTCTCCATCAGTGTACCATCGATGAGGTCCCAAGCTCTCTGCAAAGCAGTAAAGTAGCTTTGATTCCCACCTGCACTGGAACCCCAGCTATGGGAAGTGAGATACCATAGATGTCCCATGTAACCTGACCCTCAGTGCAGCTGACTCATACAGAACACATCTGAATGTTGAATGAATCCACACCGTTTACTACGTAATGTCTTATTCTCTAGAAGGAGAGGGCAGTAATTGTACAAGCTGCCCAAGAATTGACACAGCTTGCAGCATGAAAACAAAAGGAAGCTTTTTCTAGTGGTACCTAACAGCCTTTCTAACAAAAGTGTCATCTCTACTGATGCCAGGGTTTTGGCTTAGAGAAGTGTCACTGAAATCACATCTCTTTACAGGGGTGCTGCCAAGATGCTTGATCTGTATGTGATTTTAATTTCAGCTGCTTCTTGTACTGCTGAGATGTGGGCCATGAATACGTTTCTCTCGCTTTGCTGTCTGCCCTGGCTGTAGCAGGAGCTGCTTGCCAAACAGCATTTTCACAGTGTGCTAAATGGCCTTTTGCTTGGCCAGAGAATGTTCTCACCTGCAGAGATGAATCGGGGGCATCCTGGCTGATCTTTGCCTCCATTGACAAAATAATCGATGTGGCCTACAGGAATCCGGATCCCGAAATCTGAAAGGAGGTGAAATGCCACTTCATTCTCAGACTTGGCTCTTCTGTAGGCTTTACCCTACATGTTTATGACAGGTCCCAATAATTGGTTGAACATTAGTAGTGCTGGAGCCAGCTCCAGTGCTGGAGACATCAAGGCCAGATTTCCTGCTTCTGCATGCCTACACTGCACAGGTTTGCTGCATGGAGCAGAGAGTGCTCCAGCCCCTGCCATTAAAGTGACTGGGAACAGTGGCTTAACCACCACCTCAGGTACTCTGGTTCTTGATTCTATGTAAAGGAGAACAAAACTGACCACAACCTTAATGTGGGATTATGAAGCGTAATTGGGAGTTATGTTGGTAGAGGTTTCCCTGATCTCCAGACAAAAGGCGTGACTAAAAGACACCACATTATTCTTCAGCACAGGTTCTGCCTACGAAGACCTTAAGTGCTTTAGAGAAGCTACTTTGCTGTTGCACCAGCTGCTGGTTTGGCTCTGTTACTTTCTGATAAGCACTCTCCGTGGTACCTCTTTTACATCAGGTGGGAAAAGGCAGAGTAAGACTAGATATATAAATTCCTGCCAAGTGGTAGAAGTCATGCCAAACCAGTTCTGCATAAACTGACTGCTGTAGCAATCTCCACTTGTCTGTTGGTTGAAGTGCTCTGGGGTATAAATTCATCTTAAGCCTATCTAAACAAGAAATTTCCTCATAGTGAACCTGAACTCATGGTAGTCCAGCAAAAAAGGGATAATGACCTACAGACTCCTTAGCAATAATGATGTCAGGAGGAACAGAAGCCCAGGCCGAAGAAGATGGAAGCCAACTTACTGTCAGCATCGGTATGAATGGCTTCCACAAAGAGGGCATCCCCAGGATCCAGGCGTTCCTCAGGGCTGGCTCTGGTGTACTTAGGGCCTGCAGGATCCAGGGCTGTAACAAAATCAAACATCTCAACAACAAGCACTCTTCAGCCCCCTCTTTCTTGTTTCTGGACCAGTTATTTTATCCAAAATGTTAAAGATGTTGCTAGGCAGCAGTAATAAATTATTCCCAGGTCACAGTAATTACTGAATAATATACTATTAAGGGGTTGGAATGGACCTTAAAGATCATTTAATCCCAACTCTCCCATGCTCCAAAATAGTATCTGCCATCTCTAACTTCCATTGCAGCTTCATTTCCTTGTCATGCAGTATTCCACACCCCTTCAGCAGTGTTGTGTCTCAAGTTTCTAGGCTATAAAGCCAGGACTGAGCTTCAAATACCTCTGTCAGAGTGAGTGCATGGTGTTTTTTTGATTTTTGATGAAAGAGAATCAAACTTTTAATACCTTCCCTAATTGTAATGTCATCTGTATTAGCACTACTGTCTGAGAAATGTCACTGAAGATCAGCAGTTAGGTGATGAATTCAGCACCCCAGGCATTAGCCAACCCAAGCACTACCAAAGATTCATACTATCAAACAATTTTAAAACAGAGGCTTCTGAGCCCTCTCCCCACAAATAAAATTGAGTCTTTAGCAATCATCTACGTTTTTGCCTAAAGCTTGCTCCTAGAGCAACTTCTAGGGATTCAAAGGAATACAGTTAAAATTATCCTTGGCAATACCAAGGAAGAGGTTAAAGGTAATTTTTTCTGAGGTTTATTCTATTCACTTTTTACAGAAAAGTAACCTCACAAGATTTTTTTTCCCCTCCCCAGGCAACAACAGTTCAAGAAGCAGCTCTGCTCCACATGCCACTTAGCCTCAGAGCTGGTTGGTTTCACTGCTTTGACTCAGTCCCCTTAATTCTCTATGGAGAAGGCAATATCAACAATACCCAAACTGATGTCTCTGTGTTTTTGAAGGCATAGGGCAGGAGGAAAAGGAAAAGAAGGAAAAAACATTATTTCCTATTCTTTCTATAAATAATAGCTAACAATGGATCTTTAATGTTCTTTAATCTTGATACATACTGAAAGCTGAGAGGTTCCCCACCCATTTCTACATAACAAGTTGCACTTAAAAGCTTTCAAAGGTACTGAAAAATGTTATTTGGTATAGCCTAAATTTCTTTCCGAAGAGGGAGAAATGCCTAATATGAGCACCAGTCAATTCCAACAGAGCTCCAGGGTAAGCACCTTTCTATCCTCTATTCTCCATCCCTACCTCCTCCAAGCACATGCACAAACTCCACTGAGATGTACATCCTCAGCAGCTAAGAAAACTATTCACTGAAGCTAAACAGTATGCAAACAAATTCCTTTGGGCTTTTTCATTTCCTCTGCGAGTATTGAAACAAATTGCTCTTTTCTGAGTGCTTGCTTTTGGATAAGGGCTGTTCGTTCCAGCTCCTATATAATTTGCTTTCTTGCACACAGAGATATCCACTAGAACAGGCATGTGTTAAAGAAACTCACTTCACAAAAATAAAGTCTGTGCTCTAATCCCCAAGACTTGCTCTGGTTTTGCTCCACACAGCATTTCTTACGTGACTGAAAACACATCAGCAAATTGTGGCTCTGGGGTCACATTCCCCTGTGAGTGTATGCACATGTATGAAGAGGCAGGAGATGAGATCACACATATCTCGGATCTAATCCCACCTATCTTCAGGTTCTTAAATCTGAATTTGAATCTGCAATGCTCAGTGTGCCTGTGAAATCATAGGACAAACAGAAATGAGGAAAAGGGATTGTATTCTAGTAGAGTTAAAAATGAACGGAATAAATAAATTTACAGAGCTTTTATTACATTAGACAACATAAAGGGAAAAAGTCTTTAACTTTGAAGTTAATGACTGTGGTTTCATGGGAATGTGTCTGCTTCTGCTCATCTGAAGATGTTGCTGATCATAAAATCCTGGTGCAGGACAGTGGCTACTCCAATTTCCTCCTAAAGTAAACTTTGATTCACAGCTTAAAAAAGGGCCCAACATGAAACTCAAATCCTCTTAAGAAATGCCTGTATTTCATACAGTGTGGGTAGTTATGACACGTGAAGGCTGAGCCAACATTTCCTTGGACTGCCCTGCCAAGTGTGCAGTGAGATCCTTCTTGAGGATACCTTTGTGAGACAGACTAGCAAGGGCTGAGGCAGACTGGGAGCTGTGGTCACACTACTGCAGACTTTATGTCTGCTCCTTCTTGGTGGCATTTTCCCTCCTATCAAAATGAATCTCTGTCCTTGGGGATTCCCAGAATTTAACAAAAACCTAGGCAACCCGTACAAGGCAGCCACACTCTGAGAAGGAGGGAGGGGTGGTGGTGATGGTGTGTGGACTAGAGACCTTTCAAGGTCACTTCTTACCTAAATAATTCTGTGAGTCAATTTATGTTTTATAACTAAAGGCTGACAAGGCCCTGAGTGGATCAAAAACTCTAAATGGCAGGATCAGCCTATAACCACCTTGCTCTGTAATTCCCCCACTTCAACCTCTTCCTGACACCCAGGAGCCTGGCTCTCTGTGTTTAAGGTCAGCTCTGACTTGGTACAGCTATGTGGCCTTAGACCAGCCTACTGTGAAAACAGCTGACTTGTGGGAGAGAACAGCAAGAAGCCTCATCTGGGTCCTCCCAACATTGGCTCAGGCTCTTGACTGTGTTCCTTGGCTGAGCTGTGTTGTAGGGATGCCATGCCCAGCCCTGTCTCCTGCTGGTCCTGCTTTTATCTTGCTGACTTGACTTCCCAGCTTGACCTTGGGCTTGTCTTATCACTACAAACTTGCCTAGTGATCACTGGACTGTGGGTGGCCCTGGCTCCTGTCGCTGGACCCGCTCGGCTCTTCTTGCCTGGACATGGTAGGACTGTGTCCCTTGGCAGTGAGGCCACTGCCACTGCCTACCTTGCTGTCCTCTTGGCTCTCAGCTCACGTTTTCCTGCAGAGCGGCTCACTCTTGCTGCTTCCTCCACAATGAATTGCATTGTGGGCTTTAATTTTAAGAATCATACAGGTGTACATGCTATAATTTGGAAGCAAGGCATGTGCGTGTTGTGGGTTTTCACTGGTCATGAGACCTCATATTCTTCTAAGCTGGCACCAATTTGAAGAGTGGAGCAGAGTTGGAAGGACCCTTTTGCAAATACATGCATTCTTCTGGCATCGTGGAAGGGACTGATGACTGGAAAGTCGCTGTCAGACTCTTCTGGAGCTGGGAAGAAGCCCATAAGCTTGAATCTAATGAGCCCTTATGTAATTAAAAGACCACTCTGAATGACCCCCCCTTCCTTGCTCTTTCATTCTCCCTCTTGAAGAACATGTGAGGATCCAAGACTCAGTTTTATGATACCTGTTATCCGTCCCAGCTGACCGCCATGGAAGTGCCCCACCAGGCCCCCAACGTGCGCACCAAGGCTTACCCCAATGATGTGGATAGATGTCCTTGAGACCCCCAGGGCCTGCAGATTTACAAAAATACAAATTAATGTTTCTGTAGCAGAAAGGTGAAATACCCTGTCCCAGCCCACACAGCAGCTCTGTAATTCTTCTAATGTAGAATTACTTTTGAGCTGTACAATGGAAAACCAAATAGGTAAGGGTTAACACAAAGATTTATCACCCTCACTGCAGAAGTGTTGTTCAGCCGTGCTGTGCAGGAACAAACCGGGTGGGGCATCTGGGTATTTCCAGCTGCTTGGGGGTATATCTGAAGCTCAAAGCAAATATAATACAGCCTCAAATCTCATTCCCTCCAGCTTTCTGGGCAAAATTTCTGAGCAGAAGACTGCCCAGTGAAGTATGGATCTGAGAAAACCCAAGGCATGCTTTAGGTTTGTCTTGGGCTGGAGAGGCAGCTGACAACTGGGACTTTTTCCAGCAAATGTCAGAACTCAAGAGAAAGAAGAAAAAGGGTGTCATGCTCAAGCCTGGACTAAGAGAGGGGAAAAAAAGAAAACTCCAGAATAAAAAGCCCACTTGGCCAGCTCCTGGAGACAGCAGACTGGGAGCAGTTCTCTGGATTGTTGGCATGAATTATGTCCTCCGGCCATGAACCCCAACACTGGAAATGCGTAGTAGCCTTACCAGGAGCTTGCTGATGAATTGTGAGATGGAGAGGGCCAGCTGTGTGACATTTTCCACTGCAGAGGGATAGGCTCCCGTAGACCCATAAACCCAGTCTACTGCGATCACGTTCACCCAGCTTGTGTTCAGTATGGCTTGGACAAGCCCTTCAATCCAGGAGGGCTTGGTACCCAAAGCCCTGTGGAAACATCAGAAACAAGTACGTTAGGTGTTTCCAAAGAAGGGCATGTGCCAGTATGTTGTTCACTGGTGCTGGAGCTTCACATGTCTCAGAGGAGGCTGCCAGAGAGTTGCTGAAAGTTATTTCTGGTGTTAGACACCCACATCTGGAATTTTTTTTTGTGGTGGTGTAATAACACTTTCCAGAATGCACTGATTCAGGAGGTAACCAGATATTTTAATGAATGATATAACATTTGCAGGGCTCAGGCTGAGATCTCAGTCTTGCTGTGGTGCTTCATTCAGCCACCACAGAGCCCACCTGGAGTAAGTGAGCTGACCAGAAACACCTGGATCCTTCTCTGATACCAACTTGCAGGAAGTCCTTGGCCAAATCACCTAGTCTTTCACTGCTATGTTTCGTCATCTCTAGACAGTTTAAAAAAATAATCAATATTCAAGAATTCAAGGCCAACTGAGGAGGCTATGTTCTACCCACTTTTCCTAATACCATCTGGTGAAGTGTGTGGTATGTCATGTGGAGGCAACAGCTGGTTTTCTGAGAAGACCCTGGAACATCTGCTGTGGTTTCATCCTGGTCTTTTATGCACTTTATATTTAGGCGTTTGCATTTCAAAACAAATAATGTTATATGGTCACATGTGAGTGAAAAATGGCACAGTAAAGTAAGCTTGGAGAATGATGGCAGTTTCAAGAATAGAAGTGTAGTGTATCTGCCGGGGCTTCTAAGTGGCTCATTAATCCAAGCTGTTGGACACGAACTCCAAGAACGCAATTTAAAGGGACAAGAATCTTGAATAAAAGACTTTTTAATTAAAAAGGTTGAGAAAAGGAAAGAAATAGGAAAAGGTAAAGAAAAAGACAGTGAGAGAATGAGAAAATAAGAAAGAGATTGATTCTAATTTCTAACTTTTTTTAGGCCCCCAAAAATGCGAAGCACTCACAAAATAGGCAACTGATCACAAACTAAAGGACTTCAAATGGTGTTGTAATGAGGGGTGCCAGGAGCACGTTCCATGCCTTTGGCCCCAGCCCACCAATAGCCTCCCAGACAATTCCCAAGTCCAATTGGGGCTGAGCACCCCAGCTTCTGTTCTTAGCAGGTGTTCTGCATGCAGCCACTCTGCTGAGAAAACGAAGACGGTGATACAAACAGGAGAGTTCCATGCCAGCCCCACCCAGTGCTTGGGAATGCCCCAGCAGTGTTTAATTTTCCAGTAAAAATTTAGTCACAGTGCTCTTCTTCCTCTCACCTGAAGCCATGGATTATGATCTTGGTTTCTGAGCTGCTATTGAAGCTGCCATTCTTGATACCATCATCAGCTAAAATCAGCTCTCCACAGCTGGGGCTTGAGGAGGTGAACAGAAGAAACTGGACCTTAAGTTTACTGCCCCGTAGGAAATTTGCTGTCTGGAAGTCAGTGCAGTGATGCCCTGAGAGTCTGTCTGTATTCCCTGCAACAAGAGGGAGTGAGTAGAACATTTAGTCTGTGTTCTGTGTAATGGAAAAAAAAAAAACCCTCATTCTAATTCATTAGGAAAATGAAGGTAACAATTTCACCTCTATTGATAAAGATTAAAAAGTTAGAACATAAATTAAAATGAGCCTATTTTGGAAATTTTACCTGACTGACAAGTTGTTTCTTTGTCCCTTAATGGAATTCTGGCACTGGCTGGAGAAGATAACCACGGATCTCATGGTAGCTTTGACTTCTGAGACTTGTTTTACCAAAAGGTGAATAACATCTTGTTGAGTTTTTTTAGCAAATTGGCCACACACACCAGCCACTAATTATATTTTTGAGGTGGCTATTAGATCTTTAAAAAAATGGTTGCCAGCAGGTAGGCACCACTGAATGGGGATATTTCTATTCAAATTCTGGTAGGCTTAGTAGAAGGCACAAGTCTGACAGTTGTTTCAAAAATCCAGAAATAAATATGAAAATGCCAATGAAAAAAAGTGTCAATGGTAATTTCCAGATTGATTCATTTACTGGATAAAAATGCTTTATGAGAAGGAAAAGGCAGCTGCTGCAAGACACTTTGTTCTAGATGGAAAAAAATCTCAAACCTGTAGCTAGTAAAAATCTGAGCAAATTCAGGCTAGAAAGCAAACATAGAAGTTTAGCAGTACGTATGACTAGCAGTATGTGTGTTACTTTATGAACTGGCCTAGTTACATCCTTCTGCAATACAATGCATGCACCTTCCCTTTTCTGGACTGCAGGAAGTGAAACAGCCTTGAATCAGCACATACAATAAAACATTTTATTTTTTTAAAATCAAACAACCAGCTCTTCCTAATTTCTCTTAGAAGATACTTTACACTAGCTAGGCAGAACATGGCCTAAGGTGCAGCACAAAGGGGTGAGATTCACTGTGGGACATCACTATTCCTTACTGTTCTTTACTTTGGTCTTCCTGTGTACTGAAGGCAAGGGAGAAAGAGGCATTCTTAGAAACCAGCTTGAAAAAGATGAAAGTCGTGAGCCAGTTTAACTAGCAAAGGCAGGTTTAGTGCAAGCACAGGGTGTGTCAGAATACTGTAGGATGAGGGGGATCATGAGCAAAGGTAAGGCAGGGGGTGCATTGCAGTGAAGCTGAAGGTGATGTGGGACTGTAGTGGTGATCACAAAAGCAGTTTAACTGACAGTACAATTAAAGAAAGAAACGGAAGCCTGGTTGTTGATGGAGAGGTACGGACAGGTCACTCACAGACCAGTATGGTCGGCAAAATGTCAGCTTTATTAGAAGAAAGACACCTTATATACTGCTTATGACACTCAGACGTGTGTTTCTTGTTCACAGAGCATTGGATACATAATGAAAACATACTTTGTTGTACGGTGCTAATTGGATCACAACAGGTGGTTATAGGAGATAAGAAAACTTGTTCACCTGCCAAAAACTCCTCCTTGACTGTGGCAAAAAACCTTTTTTGTTCTAACTTCAGCTCCTGTAGCCATATTTAACTACGCAGTTAGTTTTACTATCCGCACCCAATAATGCCAAGGCAATGCTCACAGAAATGCAATAGAAATTGTTCACACATAATCTCAATACTCCAAAATCTGGTGTTTATTTCCTCCCAGCTACTGCAGATTACACTTGCTAAGCTTTCAAAGCAGGAGATGCCAGTGCCAGAGGTGAAATGGTCCCTTTTCTACTTCCTTATACTTCAGGTAAACCTGGATCATTCTTGTAAATCAGGTTAGTGGAATCAAATCACTGAGACTGATTGATTGAAAGCATAGGAGAAGAAAGGACCATTCTTGCATTGCCTGTTCCCTGGCACCTAACAAGATTATTTCAAGGACCTCTTGACACACAGGTTGTTTAGGGAGAACTGAATTCAGATCCTTCTATGTAAAACCTTCAATCCCTTGCCAGAGAGTCATGTTTTTCTTACCTGCTTGTGCTGAGCTGAGCAGCCAGAGGACAGCAAGAACAACAAGCAGTAGCCTCTTCAGATCCTCAACCATCTTCCTGGTAATTCACTACAAGTACAGGGATTGTACAGGGGAAAAACAGCTATGGTGGGTTGCTCGATCAGCTTGACTCTGTTAATGATCAACCAGCCTGTGATCTTTTGGGAAAAAAGTAAAGGGACAACTACCTCTGCTCTTACTTGACTATAAGCCAAAGTGTGAAGCAGAGGTTTCACTGACTTTTTGGTTAAAAAGGATGCTGACACTCCTTTCCTTCTTACCTCCCCTTCTTTGAGGCAAAATTGCTCCTTCAGAAATTAGCTAGTGAAACCAGTCCAAGCAAGTGATAGAGTTACAGTGCTTTTCTGCCAAACTCTGACTAGGGATGCTGGTTTTTCAGAGGGCTTTACAGTCAGTCCATGTCAGGAAGATTCATACCAGCCTTGCATCTGTGTTTTTTCCTTTTGCATGGCTGTCTCTCTGCTGTATTTCTACTTCTGGTCACATACCATAACAGTCAAAAGAAGGCAAAACGGTGGACTACTTCTGAAAAGTGAGGGGGAAGATGGTCACTGGTGGCCATATCACCATAATAAGCCCAGACTGTACATTTCTTAGGGCAGGGAAAGCCTTCACTTTTCCTTTGGTTTGCATTTCAGGTACTAAAGGAAATAAAAAGATGACCTCAGTAATGCACCAGTATCATAAACATGCAAACACTTTAAAAAGACCTTTGAATAAAAAAATTTACTGCTTTGATGTATACAGATGGAGAAGCGTAAGTGCACAACCAAACGTAACCAGGAGTCTGTCACATGACACTCATGATATGGTGTTACCATCTCCCTGGCTGTGAAGGATTTTAAGCTGAGGACACACCTGTTTCTTAAGCCTCATCAGTGTGTGTTGGTCCATCTTGCTGAACAAGGCAGCTTTGCCCCTGATTGTGTTAAATGGCAGGAGGGGCAATGAGCGAAGGAACATTCCCTGTCCAGGCACTATTCTACAAAGACTTTATCTGAACAACAAAATGAAGAAATTGCTTCAGTCTGATCAGAAGAATGGCCAAAGACATTTCAAAAAGCATCTGACATTACTTTTCTTTACAGTTATTAGTGATAGCAGTAATTTCCTTATCCCAGTTTGCTCCAGCTGAAGGCTTTGGGACTGTTTTACGCAGAAGACAATGTTATTTCCAAGTCTCCTGAGATAAATTTCTTCAGTGTTCACTGTGAAGTTAGGGAGCATCAGCTGCCTGCCCTGGAGGAATACTGAAGCCCTGCCCCATCTGCATCCTCCCAGAGATAAGTATACACGTACATTCTGATCCTGAAATACTTGCCCCCAGGCTCAAACTGGCTTATTGTCACAGAAGTAGGTTCTAAGTGTCCTTTGTCAATCATGATGCCAATTTTGCCCCCAAAAAGGCGCAGAGAACTGCTCAGAGACAAGAGTTAGTCTTTAAGCAGTGAGGTATATTTATTAGGCAACGTTGGAGAGCAGCCAGCTTGCACTGGACAAACTGCTCTATCTCTCCAGTGAATTTACAGGGTTTTATACCATTTCTACAGGTGATTGCAACATGTTCACATACATATTCATATGACTGCAACATCTAATTATAATATTCATAATAAGCAGAATCTAGGCAGAGTCGAGGGCGTGGTCTTCAATTTGGGGAGAATCTAGGAGGGTCGTTCCTGTTTCTTCATCCTCTAGCCCTTGGCCCAGCCTTCATCATCTTCATGAACTTTTCAACTTTCTGGATTTTGGCAGACTTCATGGTGAATTTTGCAAGATTCTTGGACTCAAGCCCCACTTTGCCCCCCTATCTTACTTAGGTTGGGTGTGTGTGCATTCTTTCAGTGTACAGTACCACCTAATCTCTATCTCTAGGTTCTAGCAGTGCATCCTAGCTAAGTATTGGCAAAATTCTTTGTGCTCTTGTTTATACTTATATTCCTATATTCTACTTATATTCCTTTATTCTACTTAGTAAACCTATATTCTGACTTATATTCTGATTTTAACTCTCTACCTGCTTTCTAGGTTTTGTCTGGCTTCAATCGCTATTATGTGATTGAGTTTACCAGCTCAATCAATTTTCCAAGATTGAAAGCTGCAATATGAATAGCCAGTGCCTGGCTTCCAGCCCACTCTTCATCTACCCATCCCCAGCACTAGACTCAAGTAGATTCACAGACTGTAAGATAAAAGCATGTGGACTGCAATGGGCCCACTCCTTTTCATTACACCCAGAAATTCCACTGATCTGATTCCACTTTTCTAAAGAAAGAAAGAAAGAAGGAAAGAAATTTGTGAAATCATACCATTAGGCAGTGACATGTCCATGCAGACCTTCAGAGGAACAGTGTAATTGTGAAAATGACAAATTTCTTAAAATAAAAAAACAAATTGGAGCACATAAAGAAAACAAGCAAATCCTTCTTTCCATCTTTTTTAATTTAAAATTATGGCAATAAGCACTACTCTTTGTAGCAGGATGCAAATATTACTCTTTGCCAAGTCCTATGGAAATTATGAAATATCTTATAATATAAGGCATTATAATTTATTATAATTACATTACCTAAGGCATTTTAATTATTATAATTACAGCCCTAGAGTAAAACAAAACTGTGGCCAAGATGAGCAGCTCTGGCTTAGTTTTGTGTATTGACAGAGCTGTTAAACAGCATTCTGGTATTTAACAACTCTGCAAATATACAAAACTGGTGGTTTTTAAAAAGGAATGTCTTCATGAAATTGAAAATTCTGTTTCCTGAGCAGGTTTTTTTCTGTGATCTCAGCTTTAGTAATCCCAGGATTTTTTTTTATTATATTGGCACACTGTGGTGGTTCCTTATTCAAACAGCAAAAGCCCTTCAGTTTCTCTGTGCTTAAAATGCTCTTACCAGGAAAACTATTTTGGTATGAAGGGTTTTCTTTTTACTGCTTGTGAACCTAATTACTGAGTAATTACAGTTATATTAGTTCAGAAATTTAATGCCACTTATTTTACTTTCCAATGGGAGTGATTATAATGGCAATAGGATCATTGTTGCAAAGACTTTCAAACCACTTTAGATTTCTTTTAACAGTCCATTACAGTGTACTATCATGAAGCACAGTGTGATTCTCTTGAGAATGAATGAGGGATAATTAAAACAAACAAATATGATTCTATGCACAAATTCTTTTAATTAAAAAAAATAAAAATTGTGCTGTCTGCACATTCAAGCAAATGCTGAAAGTGCCCAACTCAGCTGAAAATGTTGTCTCCCCACCCACAAAACAACAACTGGCAGAGGAACATAGGCACTGCAAATACCCAGAAGTCAAGCGGAAATCTGATCACAGGAAAATTCACTTAGACTGGAAAACTGTTTTTTGATACTGGAAACAATGCAGTTGGGGTAGCAGTGTGGGACCTTGGGGGAAGCCAAGTGTGAGTTAAACAAATGATGACTATTTAAAACCTCTCCCTGGGGCCTTTGCGTTTGCGGGAGGGCGTGAAATACACACAGAGCTTAGCTCACTATCCATTAAGGCCTGGATCCACCTTTACTGCTGGAATACTTGGTCTTACAGCTCCTGTATTTTCTGTCCTTTTTCCGTGGAGTAGGAATCATGGCTCTATGTTAAGCGTGTAGGCTCCTGTGTATTGTTCCCAGGATTGAGAGAGGAACTGTGTTTAGTTCTCACCTAAACAAAAAGAATTCAAACTCCTGACTTTCAGAAGAGTGTTATAACTATAACTACGACAGAGCAGGAAGAAAACATTAAAGATAATCTTGGCAACTGAGGAAGGGAAAACTGATTGGGTACTCAGTCAGGAAAGGAGGAAAACCAGCCATTTTCTTGTGTCTTTTCTTGAGTACTTTATGGATCTTCTATCTGGTATGACTGTATAAATAGGCAAAAGAAGGGAGAATACACCCTTGCCACGTATTTCTGCAGCTTCCCAAAGGTAGAGGAGCCTAGGTGAGGGCACCAGCCACCAGGTTCAAGTTTCTCTCACTTTCTCTGCCCTGTGAAGCCCTAATCATCCTCTACAACACAGAGCAGCTCAGTAGGAAAAACTTAGGCCTGCCTTAAATGCACGTGAGGAACCTCCCGTGGTTCCTTCCACCCTAAAATAACCTGTTTCAAAGTGAAAGCGTCTGTCTGCTTCAGATTTTTCTCTGCTAACCCCAAAGATTTCATAACCTACAGGCAAGCTGCAGTGTGCGAGCATCCTCTCAGCAACAAGATTCAATCCAAAGTCTCTGACATTTTCAGAGGACATTTTACCTTACAAGAGGACTAGTCAGCAGCAGAGAACATGTGCTCCTGCCATGAGGATACTGCAGAAAGATGGCCATGTTACATTTTTGTAACATGTAAATGCTGTGACTTGGAGCCTTTACAGGGTAAGGAGTTCCCTTTAACACTTGACAGAGATTGAGAATAGAGGGGTAAAGGGAACAGAGAGACAGAAAAGCTTGGTATGAGTTTCTATCACTGAGCAAAAGGAATTTATAGGATGGGCCTGACTCCACTGGTGAGTTATGCGTCATGGCATTCTAACATAGCTATGGAAAATGGGTCAGTATTATTCTATTTTTGTAAGAACTGAATGAGACAACATTGCTCAGCCCAGGGTGCAGTGTCATTCTAGCTCACGCTGCAGCCTTCAGTGATGAGTTAAGGGAGCTTACAGTGATTCCTAGAAGAAGGGGGGAAAAAAAAATCACTTGGCATTGGAACATATTCAGTGTTCATTTTGGAAGGTCCTCCGGTTAGAGATCTCCATGGCTGCCAATTTTTTTTTTTCTGAATCTGCTGTGTGAAGAAAAAAGCTGAGGTCACTCAAAGTGGGGGTGAATAGTCCAACACAGCTGCTCATCAGTGAGTGTGTGGGCCACGTGCACTGGGGAGAGCCAAGTGAGGGAAAAACCTGCAGCAAGAGCATCCCTGGATGACACTAGTGCTGTGCTGGTGCCTCCCAGACAGGCAGTCAAGGTCCTGGGAGCTGAGCATGCTTTGAGGCTGTAAGTTCTGCAGCTGGACTC